ACATTATTTTTTCGTTTGTTTTTTTTAAAGACTCGAAAGGACTTGAAATTCAAAGTTTCAGACTTGTGACTTGACTCGGACTTTTACACCAGTGACTTGAGACTCGACTCTGACTTGCCTGACATTACTTGAGACTTGACTTGAGACTTGAGGATAAAGACTTGAGACTTACTTGAGACTTGCAAAACAATGACTTGGTCCCACCTCTGATATATATAGATATAGATATAGATATATATATAGATATATATCTATATATATGAAAGGAAGAGAATGTCAGGGAGGGTGAAGCTGATGTTTGAGCAAGGGAGAGAAAAGGAATCGGGAGATGACAGGGCAGAAGAGAAGCAGATTTGCTTATCAGACACCCCAAAAAAACAGACATGCACACACAGTCAGAAACTCAGACTGGTGCCATCTTAGTAAACACAGCTTTGATGATATGGGTATCATACTGAGCCCAATGACTTGACTTAAAGAGAGAAAAACTGCTGTGCACTGTGCACTTTGTGTGTGCACATTAGTGAGCGAGAGAGCGAGAGAGACTGTGACTGTATGAGACAAAAATACATATTAAAAAAAGATAGAAATATGAAGATATCAGGCATAAATCTGTGTGTGTTTTTGTAAAAGAGGAAAAAGAGAGCGTGAGTGTGTGTCTTGACTACAAATCAACTTCTCTTATCCATCTACGTAGATTGCCCCCATATTGGATGTTTAATATTTAACTATAGCTCTTCTCTTGGGAGGCATGGAGATTAGAAAAAAAGTTGGAAGGCTGCAGTGTGTGTGTGTGTGTGTTTATACACATATACGCAAAAGCACGCACAAATGCAAACACAGAGCAGTGCTGACTTCTACAGATTATGTACACATAATCAGAACCCTTCATCACAAAACCACAAACACTCAATATGCAATCAGGGGCATACAAATGAGATGGAAATGTATTCAGACAACACCTAGTGTCAAAATGTTAAGTACAAGTTTCACAGGTGTACAAAAATAACTACCGTGGTTCTGAAATAAATGAAAAGAGATAGTTTAAGTCATTTAATAAGCATCATTGCCCAAATCAATACTTGTTCCACCCGTCTCAGGTCAGCTGAAACAAGTAGCACATGCAACACAGGCATGTAATCATATTTTGATTTGGTGCAGTTAGCCGGCAGTAACAAAAAGTAAGCGAATATCGAAGCCAGTGGAACAAGTTTACACTATATAAAATCATTTAAAAACAGAGGATTCATGTGGAAGATGATCATGTTTAAAGAGGTGAATTTTGAGACAGGATATGAAAGTGGGGAAAGAGTCAGTGTTATGAATATCTGGGATGGAGTTCCAGAGGTGAGGAGAAGAGCAGCTAACGGCTCTAAACCCTGTGGTAGTCAAACGGGGGGAAGGGACTGAGAGATGGAGGAGGAGACCCGAGCATGCGATGTGCAGAAGTTTACCCCACAATACTGAAAATGCAGATCGTTGTGTGCACATTACATGCATCATGCATACTTTCCCACATTATCACGCAGGGGATCCAGTGCGGTGCACTCCTTTTTTGGCACAATATAGAATTACCTCTATGCAGTCACACACTCGTACATTAATACAAAGTGAGTCATTGTTATTTCACAGGGTTTACCTACTCCACTCACAGAAACACTGACTCAGTTATTCACTCATACACATGGTTATGTTCTCATTTAAAATGACGCTTCCTCGACTTACAAACCAACAAATTTTGCCGCTCAGCTGCTGTTTAATGTAGGCAGGCTGATGTGCAGTTGTGGAAATTTGTCATACGTTGCTAATGTAAAGTAGGGATACTAATCTGTGTGTATGAAAAGGAATGTGAAGGACCGCTACGTGGCTACATTTTGAGTTGAATTTTAACTAACGTGATGGAGGCCTTAGGTACGTGACAAGCTCACTGCTTACACTTTTCTTCAGCATTCAGAGGGTTGTGCGCTATGAATTCATCCCCAAGGGTTAGACTGTCAGCACCAAGTTGCATTGCAAAGTTCTGACGGGTGTGAGGGAGAACATTCAGTGCAAACAACTTGAACTGTGGTGCGTGTCACTGTGTCAGTGTCTGCCTGCTCACAGTGTGTCAAAGCACCCTGCTCACCAGATTTGACTCCCTGCGGCTTCTTCCTTTTCCTCAGTACAAAATATGAGGTGAAGGGTCATCGTTTTGACACCGTGGAAGTGATCGAGCACATGTTCCAGATGGTGGTTGAAGCACTTAGAGAATAGGACTTGCAGGGGGGCATTCTAAGTGTGGCACGAGGACAGCTAGTGCGTTGCTGTACATTGTGACTGCTTGGAAGCAGATAGTGCCCAGATTTTAATCGTTTTAGAGAAAAATCTAGATTTCCAAACAAAAATTTAACAAACGGACTTGTACTGAAGAAATATGCAAAGAATGAAAGCATTTTTAACCTAAACCGGAGGGACACAGGGTGATGCAAAGAAAGGGACAGCACTATTATTCTTTTAAATTCAAGCAATATCATAAGCAACATTCGATTCACACATATTGAATGAAATTCAAACGGTACGCTTTTGTTTATGTGGGATTAGGTTTTGTGTTTTTGTGATATCCCATATAAGAATCAGTAAGGAATTTATTTTTCCTTTCAGAATTATAAAATACTTCATTTTCCTGTTAACTTATGTGCATTTATTACTTAATCTACACCTGTGTGTATTGCACAAACACACCTACACTGCCCACTTTGCACATCTGCGTGTGGACTCTGTATGACGGAGGAGATCAATAAACACATGTGTGGTCAAAGGAAAGGCGCAGAAACAAAGGGGCAAATGAAAAGAAAATGAGAGCGATTGGAGGAGAGGCAGCTGGCTTGGTTGTTTGTCGTTGAAAACAAAGTGCTTTTAAATGATTTACTTGTTCCCTGCATCGATGCATTCCCTCATTAAAGAACAGCAGACTGCGAGATTTGCAGACAGACCATGTTGCATGCAGACAAGCTGAGTCGCAGTTATGCATTATCAAACACACATTAAAACATATGCAGGGACGCAGAGGCAACAGAACCCGGAGACAGAAGTGGGTCAGGCTAACCAGCTCGGTCTCGCTACGTTTAAAAAATGCAACGGGGTCCCGCTGTTTCGCATTAGATACGATGGATGCAAAGGCACGTGCACACTCATATACACAGTTTAGGAGAATATCTGTGTATTCTCAGACCAGCAAGCCCAAAAACGTCAGTGTGTTTACTCCAGAAGAAAAGACATTTACTTTTGAATGCGGCACACACTCTCACTTACACATTTATTTATTCCCTTTGCTCAGACACACGAATACACCGAGGAGCTGTACGTTTTCACAGATGCAATCTACAAATTCACTTGCTCATGCATAACTAAACGCATATCTTTACCCAAATCTCAAGCTTGGAACAAGATTTGGACAGCAAATCCTCAGAAATACATTGTGCAAATCTCTTTAACAGTCATGACGGTTATTTTTGCTGGAAGATTAATTTCAAATGTACATCAGCGCTGCTCACTGGAGTTTGGTGCTGTTGTACATGCAAACAGATCCTCATCACACACCTACGCGTGTATGCATGTGCATAAAACAGTGGAGATATCTCTCTGTCAGCTCCATCAACAGGTGGAGGAATATCAGAGCGGAGCTGGAGCTAACGCCAGACAGGCCTGTCTTTCAGTAAACTGATGCCAGTGTTTGTGTAGGTCTGTGTGTGTCTGTTCGGTGTGTTTTGACACATTTATAGTGGATACGCAGCCAACGCTGAGCTATAACAGTGACATCCTTTCAGATCTTGAACTCCAGAACTGCCATTGTTAACCGTTGCCAACATGAGCAATGGAAGCCCAATTTTGTCATCTGGGGAGCAAAGGAAGACTGGATCTTGTCACTCATGAAGGGTTAGATGAATGAGGGTGCGAGAAGATTAATAGGAGGCATATTTTGCAGTGATGTTCCTGCTGCAAATCAACAAGCCGAGCGCCGGATGCCGAGACATGGGAGGGCTGAGGAAAAAGAGCGGGGTGACTTAAACAGGGAGGTGGAGTGATGAGATGTGGAGGAGGAAGAAAGAAGGGGGAAAGTTGAACTTTCGCTTAAGAGGCCGTTTGTTTCCTCATCTGTTTACTCTTCCCCACAGTTCTTTACCCTGAAACCGTTACGCCACTCGACCGTTGCCGTTCCACTCAGGGTATGAAGGAGAGTATTGTTTCAGGGGTTTCCATTTGGCATCTTGTGCATCGTAGAAGTATGAAATACGAGTGTGAGGCAGTGGACCTCAGCCAGTGGGAGGGGTACACTCAAAATTTCTTACTTGGCATGAGTTCAAGTCATCTTGTCTACAACAGAGAAGAGAGATTAGGGCATATTTACTTATGAGCTCAGTGATAGATACTTTTCCAACATGCAGTAGCTATCTGTACTGGTGCCAACGTGTCTGCAGAGGGAAGATTTATGACGGCACATAATCTGAGCCATTATGACTAAATATCAGAAATGAAAAGCCACAAAAATCCTGGTTTATTTAATGTGTGACAGATGTTAAATTTGATGTATTAGAGGGAGCATGTGCTGCCACATTGGCAGACTATGTATTCGATTTGTTCGCTATCATTTTAGTAGATTAGGCCTTCACACTGTGATGGCTTTTTAATCATCACTGCTTTTACAAAACTATTCTGACTGTAGCAATATTAATTTTAATATACCAGTTAGCATATTAATATTGAGACTAATTCTAGATTTTAGTTTCTCCTTTAACTGGTTCCAGCCACAATAACATTTCTTCTTTTTCCACCTTTCTGCTGTCTTACAAAACTTTGCATAGCTTGGTTAGGTAGCCAGAATCATGACAAATGACTCGCTATGCCTGCTTTTAATAACTCCTGTGGATTAAAAGGTCAGTTGCTAATAAGGAATGAATTCTGCCTCTGCATATATGCATGTTGATAAAGACTAACAATGTGTTATAATTCCACTTTGCCAGGTTTGATTACCAGGAGCTCCTCCACAACTCCACGTTCTGTTTGGTGCCTCGAGGTCGGCGCTTGGGCTCCTTCCGCTTCCTGGAGTCACTGCAGGTAAATATATATTGTTGTGCACAATGCTGGCTATGACCATTATTCACCTTAAAGTCTCATAGATCATTTTTCACGATTTACACCTACATTTCTCAGGCCCAGTCATCTATGCGAAATAATGGCTTAAAGATTCAACAGTTTTATTGATTTCTCTGGAGATTAGATATATTTCTGTTCTTGCTCATGCATATTACACACTTTCATGTACCGATGAGCTTTAGTGTTATTTGAGTCAGGATCTAACAGTTGGTGGGCTCTTTGCTTAAGATACCAACAGGAGCTGAATGAAGCAAATTAGATGATCTTATTATCATGCCAGATTTTTACTTATTTGATTATGAATGGTTAATGTTGCCAATTTAAACTTGGTTTCAAACAAGCTTACATTATTATGTTTTATGCAAAAGGCGTACAGTGTGATAATGAGAGGTTTCACAGGAGTCTCTACAGTCCTGTGAAAAAGTCCACCCCTACTGCTTTTATACGTATTAAGAGGTTAAAGCGTCCAGGGAATACTAATAAAATGCAGCTGATAAAAGGATCAAATGTGAGCACCTCTATAAAAGCAGAGGTTTTGGTTTGCCGGTCTAGAACATTTAAGTGTGCGTTCAACACAATGCCAGAGAGGAAAGACATCAACAGTGACCTCAGAGCAGCATTTGTTGCTACCCATCAATCTGGGAAGGGTTCTAAGGACGTTTCTAAATAATTTGAAGTCCATCATTCTACTGCACGAAAGACTGTTCACAAGTGGAAAACATTCGGGACAGCTGCCAGTCTTCCCAGGAGTGAACGCCCTAGCAAATTCACAACAAGGTTACTCCATGCAATGTTCGGATAAACTACAAACTACAAATCTCACACTCCCCAGGGCTCAGTTAGCATGTTAAATTTGAAGCTCACGACAGTCCAATTAGAAGACGACTGAACAAGAATGGCTTGTTTGCAAAGGTTGCCAGGAGAAAACCAGCACCACATTTAATAAAAACCAAACACGGCACATACACCTCATAGCAAAAGTGTGCAAATTGGTAAAAGTGCAATGATTTGAGCTCGTGTTGCAGGCACAGCACCTGAGCATCTTGCAGTCATTAAGTTGACCGTGAACTCTGACTATCTGACAGCTAAAGCAAGGCTAAAATTGGGTCATGCAACATTGCAATGATCCCAAGCACAGCAGTAAATCCGCACCTGAATGGCTGAAAAAAATAAAAACGTCGAGGTGCTGCAATGGCCCAGTCACAGTCCAGACCACAACCTGATTGAAATGCAGTGGCAGGACTTTAAGAGAGCTGCGGATAAATGAGTTAGCACAAACGTCAATCAAGTGAAGCAATTCTATAAAGAAGAATGGGCAAAAATTCCTTCACAACAATGTGAGAGAAAGTTCTACAGAAAACAATTCGAGTTATTGCTACTTGTTCTAGAAGGTTACGTCTACTGAATCATGGGGTTTTTCACTGGACTGCACAGAGTCCTGAAAACCTTTTTCACATGACTCTGTGTGCTTACCAATCGTAATTACTTTCAAGCATATGTAGTAACATACTAATAAAAACATGATTCAAAAGTTTTCTCTTTACAAAACGCTGTTGTTATTTTCAGGACTTTACTAAATCCTGCATAAACAATCAGATAAAATCCCACATGTACTATACTAACACAGTAACTATCAAAGCATTATCTGCTGATTTTCCCACAACGCTGTTAGAATAACTAAACCGCAGTGAAACCGTTCATGCCGAACAAGCTCCATCTCACATACTACCGTTCAATCAACAGGGAAGTGCAAAGAATGCAGAATGTTTATGTTCCAAAGCTGCGGTTTGTGCAGTGTTTTTGGTTGTTGACACCTTAATGGTCACATCTGCAAATGTTTTGCCCCAGACCTTTGTGCTATGCTGAATGCAGATTGAGCCATAAAGTCTTTATTTGCTATTTGAAAGGCCTTTTAGCCTAAAATGGATCCATTAACACACACAGACGCGAGCGAGCACTTATACAAACTCTAGGATCCTTCATTTAAGTCCATCAGTGAAATGTGCAAGCACACAAACAATAAAGACACCACAGGCAGTGGAGTGAGAGAATAGTTTAAACGCTTTAACAGTGTGCTGTAGTTCTCACTCTGCCACCCAAGTTGATGGTCTCACACCAGTGCAGGAAGCAGCAGTGGCTGTTTTTAGCTTTGCCGAACACTGAACTCTCTGGCTGCTACAGTGTTCCCTGGCTGCACTGCTCTCTGGGGCTACGTGGTGTGTGTGAGTGTGTGTTTCTAACTGCGTGAATAGTCCGGAAGCATCTATGGGAGTGGCAGCCTGCCCCACCGCCGCTGATGTCTGCTGAATGGACAAATCCACACACAACCCACTCGGCTTGGCAGCAGGTAGCTGTCACGGTCCCTTTCTCCTCTTTGCCTTCCTTTTTTTTTCTTGTTTTTTCCTCCGTATCAGCCTCTCTCTCTCTCTCTCTCTTCCTTTCAAGGCGCTTTTTAAGATTTTTCACTTGTGTACTCTTTATTTTTCATTTTTCATTTTTTTGTATTATTTTTTTGGTGCTAGCCAAGCCCACAGAAGAACTGGCAATTACCACTGTGGTAGGAAACTTGCTGCCAGCTTTCCAGTATACACACAGACACACATTTGCACACTCCTCCACATACACCATCGCTCAGAGCCTCCCCTTGTTCGTCTCCCAATGCAAACAAACCAAAAACAACTACACAGCACAGAGGCCTTCATTTTCCTCTACCTCCAGGCAGAGGGGGCTTTAAAACGTTTGAAGCTCACCCTCACAGTGATTTATCTCTCAGGGAGAAGGCTCCGGTGAGCTGCTGCAAAATTAAAATTAAAGGCCTTGGATTATCACTCGAGGATCTTCATTTGACCTTGTTTTAACCAGGTGCTAATTCCCACACACGCATGCACGTGCAGGTCCTGCTCGAGTGTCCTTCAGCAGGTTGATTCTCCGATGGAACGCTGGAGCGTGGAAGTCTCGATGGGCCGGAGAGAGTGGTTGATTTCTACAATATTAGCTGCCGGTGCTGTTCTCTCTGGTGGTTTAATTTAAAAAAAAAAGGTGGAAACAAACCCAGATCTACCAACAGTCTAGACCACAGTGAGTAGAAAGAAAAACTGAGCAGGATGAGATGAAAGTGCTGCAAACAGAAATTGAAAAAACCAAGTAAACAAGGAGAAAATCTGATAGATTTACAGAGAGGGGAAGACCAAAGGGGGTGCAAGAGTAGCAAAAAAAAGGAGAACAACATCAAAAACCTGTCAGTAAATGAAGAAATAAGACAACATCAAAAATCCACTTCAATGAAGCATTATGCTGTAACGCATCAACTGCTTCTTAGTTTCTCTGCTCTCTTTCCCTCAGTGTTCCTCTTACCCCACACATGTCCCCCTCAGTGGTTGTACCTAATTAGCGTGGAGTGAGTCAGCCCAGTCAGCCACATCTGTGTTTGCATCTATATGAATGACAGTGTTTAACAAACCTCCGGAGTATCCAGGGAAAGTAGAGATGAAGTTACTACTCATTCCAGCCACTCTGTGAGGGTCTCACACACACACAGAAGCATTGATCATATTATCTGCCCAGTTTGGGATATCACAGTGCCAAGCAGCTGGGGCTACACTCCTCCAGACTACATTGTATTCATGCAGCTGTATATCAAGCTATAGCATTTATTGCCAAAGGGGAGCCCAAGCCAGCAGCTAAGGAGGGCTGAATCAGAAGGAACCTATTTTGACTCACTGGATGTCAACTGTGGATATAAGCCTGTTTTTGACTGTGAATTTCACATGGCATTCTCTGCACGTTACCAGTTTCAAAATCCGCTTTTCTTTGGGAAACAACAACAACCTATGACACTGCAACCTACGCGTTTAAAAAAGGAAGGCTCTGGCAAAGCAGGCCTGCTTGGTTCTTGGGTGGCTCTATGTATTCTCAAGAATTAGTCGTGCACAGCCAGATCTATGTATGTAACGCAGCGTGATTACAGCTTCGGCCTCACACGTGCAAATGTTCTCTCCCACAAAGCCAAATTTTGCAGTCTCACTACATCCTGGGTTTAGTGCCATCAGAGGCGATCTGGCTATAAGAAACTAGAAGGAACCCATTTCATCTGCAGCTTCTCAAATCTTATATTTTCTCCTACGTTACACAAGTTGGTTTCTTATTTTCACTGTTTCCTTTAAGATTCTTTAAACTCTTATTTCTATTTGCATGTGTGTGTCCAGGCGGCGTGTATCCCAGTACTGCTGAGTAACGGCTGGGAGCTGCCGTTTTCTGACGTCATACAGTGGAACCAAGCGGTCATTGAGGGAGACGAAAGATTACTACTTCAGGTAACGGACATAAGCATTTACAAGTGTCCGCACACAGGTGAACACCTTAACACATGCAAGCAGACATTGTGTTGACGGCCAGATGTTCATTCGGGATGTTTTGGGTCTTAGCATAACATCTGCATAAAATACATACTTGCGTTTTTTCATAATTTAAAGAAGAAAACAAACAATTGTGTTAGTTCATGGGTGGCTCACAAGCCTTTAAGTTATACACTGTCATCAAATAAGGCGTCTTCAGTTCTAGCAGATGAACATATGACTATAATTAAAGACATATCCAGAGATATGTATCCTTGGTTTAGGAGTCATGTTGGATTAGGCGAAGTTGAGAAATTTTACCACCTTCTTTTGGAATTATGCCACTATTTGGCAGCAACAGTAGCGAGGAAACATGTGAAGGGATTTGATATTCAACAAAGAAGCCAGCTTAAGGGATCTAGGGCGTATCGCAACCTTTCGATTTTTAAATCAGATGTTCTATTATTCGATTTTTAACAGAATAAACAGTTTTTAAGAAAAACACAAGCACTAAACCCTACTTTGTAAGGCTTACAAAGACTGATAGCCAGTATTATCTCTATCTGTGCAGAGGATTGGCTTAGTTTAAATGCAAACATGGACCTTGGAAAACATCCAGAACATCCAGGTAGGCATTACCTGTATCAAACGTGGTGGTTACAGCTTCGAGCTTCTTTGAGATTAAACACCCCAAAAGGCCTTAATCCAGCTTTATTTCAAAAGCACTCGCTCTCTCGCCGTGTCGCCTTGTTACACGGACGTACAAATAAACAGCCAGTGAGAAAAGCCAGTTCTCTCCCTGCTACAACCTTTATCTCTCTCCCTCACACACAAATTACATCATGTCTCCTCTGCATTGATCCGCTTTGATCCTGACCAATAGAGGACATGAATTGGCATTCAGCTAATGAGCAGGCACGAGCTCCCTGGAGCTCAGGGCGAGGGAGACATTTTCAAATTAGGGTAGAATTGGTTGAATGAGCTGACCTCATCAGTTGAATTTCTGCACACCTGCAAAAGTCTCACTTGGAAACGGGCGTATATTAGACACCGATGTTCACATCGTCTATGATCTGAGCGCAACTAATGCAAGGCTGAGTGCAGGCAGACAGTAGATGAAATTAGTGAAGCCATCTTTAACATGCACTGTAATTAATAAGAAGGAGAATTTTTCAAAAAAAGAGGAGATTTTTGTGGCGTCCCACCGTTTAACACGCATTTCTTCCACTTTGAGTTAAAATGAATGAATGAATTTTGGTGGTTCATTAAAACCCCCAATTTATCCTCACTAATCAGGGTCTGATTATCTGATTGACAGCCGCTAAATCAGATCTGTGTTAAATGTTTTAGAGGGCCAAATTAAACAACCCCTCTTTTTATCCTGTTCTAGACTATTTTAAAAGGTACGCCTTAAATTGACAACCATCAAAGGAAAAATCTTAATCGTATTTGTTTTTTCTCTTTCTTAAATTGCTTTTTTAAAAATTTTACCATGTTATTTTTTTCTCTTTTGTCTTTAGGTGCCATCTACAGTGAGAGCAGTAGGGAACGAGAGAGTGCTGGCTCTACGACAAAGGACACAGATGTTGTGGGAAGCTTACTTTTCCTCGGTGGACAAGATAGTTCTCACCACACTGGAGGTCAGGCCAAGAATGGACAAACTCTTGATAATAAGGTCCAGCCACAGAAAATCCAACCAGATGTTGTTGGTAAAATCCAGGATCAGATATTCAAAGGCAAAGCCCAAACTCACGATTTGAAACAGAGGATGGAGTGCTGCCTGGGTATAGCATGTAGGACACTTAAAAACCACTTGCTTGTTGTAGCATTTTCAGACATTTCCAATCTAACATGCTAACAAGCTAACATAGCTCTCTTAACAGGTAATATGTGAGTTCAGGGCAAGATTTTTTCAGTTTGGCTCTAGTACTTCAGTGAGGTTTTGAATACTTACTGAACTATCTGATGAGACAGGTTACTACACATCCAGTTACTTTGGCACTTTAGTCTGAGGATTATAAAACAGAGAGGTTTGGTGAACAGATCTTATCTGCACAAGCGCCTCATACCAACTGTCAAGCATGGAGGTGGAGGTCTGATGATTTGGGTTTATTTTGCACCCACAAGACATCAGGCCTATACTTACTAAATTGACCATGAACTCCTCTGTTTATTAAAAGAACTATGCAATTGGGTTGTGCAAGAGAGCCTTGATCCCAAACATAGCAGCAAATATAAAACAGAATGACTGAAAAAGTAAAGAATTAAGTTATTGCAATGATGCAAAGTCCAGAACTCAACCTAACTGAAATGCTGTGTTGGGACCTTAAGAGGGCTGTGCTGGGAAAAAAAAAGCCAACAAACCTTGATGAACTGAAGGAACTTTGTGAAGAAGAGTCAGCCAAGATTCCTCTACAATCATGTGAGAGACTAATAAAGTCTGAAAAGAATTACTAAAAGTCATTGAATCATGGGGTATACCTAGCCTTTCACTGGACTGCTTAAACTCTTGTAAAAACTTTATTTTTCACATGACTGTAGCCACGGTGACATCAGTTATTGGTTAGTAAAGTCCCGTTCTGAAGCTTCAGTCTGAACATTTTTGGCCTTTGCCATTTTGATATTTTGAAACTGCACAGGAGAAGCAAGGGGTGAATTTAACAGACTTTACAGTTACAAGGATATTCACGGTAAAGCATGCCCTGCTCTGTACTCAAATGCTCTTTGACTGAAGTGGGAGTGGAATTTACAAATCCGCTTTGCTTGTATCACATTAAGCTTTGACCCCCTAGTGTCAACACAAGATCCGTGTCCCACAAATATGCGTGTGGGTAATACTGCAAACCTAGTTTTTCTCTGCTGCTATACAGATCTATTCAGAAATGTGCAGAACTCGAACGTTTCAAGTGAAAACTGCTATAAACACAGGCGGAGTTACTACTCCTGTGCCTTTTTCCTGCCTGCGTCCTGTATCATCAGTCCTCTTTCAGAAGACTGGTTTGCAGCAGAGTTGTCATATTTGAATCAAACACCCTTGTATCATTATGATTACAGGGTTGGCCCATGGTCTGTATTTCCACTCTTTCACTATCTCAGTTTTGTGTTGAATTAGGTCTGTGAAACATTTCAAAGCAGAGCACATCTGATCCGTCTTAGAGAAATCCCCCAAATGTATAGAAATTATATATCATTACTTAAATATCAGTCTCAACCTGCCAGTTTCTGCTTTACTGGTGACTATTATGACTTTTGATATGCTGCACATCAGGTGTAGAAGAAAAAACTTAAACCGGAATTACAAAGAGCTTGGAGTTTTCTTCACTTTTTTGTCTTTGAACAAGCTGCAAAGAAATGCATTGCAAAGATAGCTACTCTGGCTCAGAGAATGTCATTTGAAGGTTGGCCCAGCAGTTAGATGATGCATAAAAAGAAATGCCAAACCTCCTTATATAAGAAGTTTTTGAACACTCTGATAAAGTCAATGTGAGTAAACAACAGATTTAATGCTGCTGAAATCTGAAGAAATCACAGAACGAGTGGTAAACTTTATAATCAGATGTTTATGAACTGGAGTCTGGGAGCTCCTAGTTAATTTGGTGTGTGGAATTTGTGCAAATGATAATAAGAGGAAGGTTCTGGAGGTTAGTGATAAGCTGGTTATGTACAATGCATACAGCATGTAGAGGGGACCTCCGCACGAGAGACAGCTGTGCAGTCAGCTTGAGGTCAGTGAGGCAGAGGACTTCAGGTGCCAGTGTTGCTGCTGCATGGACACCTCCTATTGGTGTACAATGGGAAGTACACAGATCCTGTCATTACGGACTCCTAAAATATGCAGAGACAAGTGTGTCAGGACTTGAACTGCAGTGCAGTTTATATTAAGCTCTAAAATTCTCATGCACTGGCTTAGAAGGGGAAAAATGAGTGTGATGCAGGCTCATACTCGATGAGTACAACAGCCACTTTAATGCATAAAGCCAACATGTATTTCTCACATTGCAACCCACGTCGAACCTCATCCAATTTTTTTCCTTTCTTAGATCATTAAGGACCGTGTATTTTCTCACATATCGAGGAACAAGTACATGTGGAACTACCTCCCAGGAGGTCTGCTGGTCCTGCCAGAGTACTCCACTCATCTTGCACATTTCCCTTTCTACTACCTTGGATTAGGTAAATGCAGAGTTTATTTAAACAAATCAGCACAGCTTGCGAATCTTGATTGCATGCTAAGGATGTTGGAAAGGAGATGAAAAATTAAGACGCCACACTCAACATTACACAAATTGTTCTCAAATATTTGCTTAAGTTCTTGTCTGTATTGATTTTAATTTTGCATTCCTGCCAAATATTTGTTCTTTTATCCGGTTTAAATACATTATTTTATAAATTACGGCAGCATTAAACTGCAGCATTGCTCTCTACAGCACAGTGTTTTAAATGTTCAGATTCTTCATGGTGGCTTGAAATTATTTTGATGATGTTCAGTACAAATAAATATTAGTATTATTAGGCTTAGATTAGCAGCACCTTGCGCATGTTCAGACAGATAAGACATTTCATCATGTGCACATCTTTGTTTCATGACTTTGCTCAGGAGTCACTCCAGGACAGGAGTTCACTGCGGTCATCCATGCTGTCTCTCCATTGGTCTCCCAGTCTCAACCAATCATGAAGCTACTTCAGGTGGTCTCTAAGTCAAAGTACTGCTCACAGGTACATACTGAGATATTCTCTATGTAACTTTGTCATAATAATAAGCAAAAGTTGGATTGTGTGTACAGTTGCTTCAGAAAGTAGTCACTTTTTCACATATTATAATCGTAAGTTTAACTTGAAATGCATAATTGTGAATGTTTCTATAAAGCTACACTCAGTAACCCCTGAAGGCAAAGCAAACACATTTTAAGAAATGTTGAGAACGTACTACAGTGCCTTTCAGGTATTTATTTTCTTAACTGTTTATCACGGGGCCTATCATACCTTTATTGCAAATCTCTCATTTGAAAAGCATCCATGTCTACTCCTGCTGCAGTGCTCTCCACTGTTTTTCAAATTCCTCTTCAATAACTTCTGTCGTAAAGTGAATGGATTGTGCATAATTTAGTTTGTGCATATATAAGATTCAGTGATGTCAGAGCAAAATTATAGTGAAGTATAGATCTCACCAGGTTATAAAATTGAGCAGCTGGGGAAAAAAAGATGAGTCTCCACACTTCATAGAGTTGTGCATCTGGACAGACTGTGCAACCAAGCAAGAAATGCCATGGTCGCGAAAGTGACCTGGAACCCAACAGTCACTCTAACAAGTCAGTAGATGTTCTCTGCAGGAATTAGATGATCTGCCAATAAAAGGGCAGCCATCCCCAGGAGCACATCATCAATCAGGTCTTTAAGCTAAAAGTTGCAAGAGAAGCTGCTCTGAGTAAAACAGAGATGTCCTTGAAGAAAACCAGCTGAAGAGCACATGCAACTTGAGACCAAAGGGGTGAACTACAAAGTAAGATTAGTGGTTTAGCAAGCTACGTCAAGCTTAAAATCGGCGTTTTATATTTCTCAAAAGAGTTTCTCTTTTTACTTGGATAAATCACTGATGCTGAACACAATGCAGTCATGAGCAGGTTATGTTCAAAGCACCATATTTTAAGTGTAATGCAGATTCTCTGCTGCGGGAATACTTTTTTTTTTTGACATAAACATTGTTAAACCATATCTTACCTTAAAAACAAGCATCGGGAGTGCACTCAGCCATTAAAATAATTAACTTGAATTAAAATGCTTATTTTTTAGCTCTGTGTGCGCTAACGTACCAGAATAACAGTTTTTTGCAGCCTTAATCTCTTGCTTTTTTGCAACAGTATTGCATTTTACTGTTACAATTTTTATGTAGATATTTAGTCGTGTATGTGGCACTAATAGGGATCATTTTGTGTTGAAGAAGAGTTATATGACCTTTTTATATGAACATTGCACAGAGCCTGAACTAGAAAGCCCGACTTAATAAGAGAAAGTTGTTAACCACTGTTGTGATACTGGTTATCTCCAAATGAGTTTTAGGTTTTGTCAAATCAGCTGGGAAAGCCTGGCTGTGTTGACTTTCATTTGTATTAAACCCCTCAGGAATCCTGCTCAGCATTACAATAAACCAAAGCATACATACTTGGTTTTAGAACAAGTTTCTAGTAGTTCTTGAGTTAAAGGCCAAACTTAAACCCCATAGAGCACCAAAAATTAAACTTCACCGATATGAAGTGAATAAGAGTACAAAAATTAAAGTGGTCTGGATACTTGAGTACCTAAGGCAACTGTAGACTATGAAAATTTATCATTGAGCAAACTATCATATGGGATATGAGATATGGGATATCATATGGGTGAGGGATCATACCTCTGAAATCCCTGACTGATTTGTGACAGCTACTTTTCTAATCAATCTAATGCATCTATATGTCGACATTTTACATGAGCTCCACTTCTCTTCTGTTTTAGATCATTATTCTGTGGAACAGCGAGAAACCGCCACCCAGTCGGAGCAAATGGCCTCCTATGCCTGTCCCCCTCACTGTGACAGATGGCAGGAGGAAGGTGAGGGCCAGTGCCACTCACAACTCAAGCTGTAGCCTGCTGTGACGTCTGAGTGACAGAATGACAAACTGTCGCTTGCTCAGTCTGTTTATGCGTCTCTCACTCGCTGTCTATATCTGCTAATCTATTTTTCGCCTTGATGTCTCTTTTTTTGGTCTTTCTTACCATCCGTGTTTATCTGACGTGTCCACCGATCCGTGCAGCATTTACTTTCTCAACCCTTCTTCCATGTGTGTCTTTTCAGACGTTTTTCTTCCTCCCAAGGCAAAACCTATAGTGATTCACCCATCTCAGTCACTCAACATGATTTACTGTATTTCATAATCTCTCAGAGCACAAGCCAGCCATCCCACGGGCTACAGCACCAGAGCTAAAACTAGTGACTTTGTTTTTCTCGCAGACCACCAGTCGGTTTCTACCTCATGTTGCCATAGAGACGGAAGCAGTGCTGAGTCTGGATGAGGATACGGTCCTACTGACAAGTGAGGTGTGTGGACATGTACAACACACAATACATACAGCAGAAGCGCCCACATACTGTACATGAATAAATTAATATTTCTAAACAAAAAAAACCCTGAATCTTCCTTTTCTGTACTTGCAGGTGAACTTTGCCTTCTTGGTGTGGCGGAGCTTCCCTGAGCGGATTGTAGGCTATCCTCCCAGAAGCCACTTCTGGGATCCCCTGAAGCGGGCCTGGGGCTACACCTCCAAATGGACCAACGACTACTCTATTGTCCTAACTGGAGCCGCCTTCTACCACAGGTGCATGAACGCAGGAGGGAAAAAATAATGAATAATAATTTGTTTCATATTTTTTATAACTGAAAACTTTCTTTGTGGTTACTAGTCTTTTAATTAAAGGTTCAAAGGAAGAAAAAAGACACTTTAGTTGAATCACCCAGCAAAATCTTGGTTTGTCTCACATATCCGGTGGTAAAAAAATTATTTGAATTTGCTATTACATAACAGCAGGAAAACATTTTATTGGAGTTGTAAGTTCTACATTAATTGGTCTGATCTTCAGTCGCCTTTATAGACATGTCACTTTCATGTATACAGATGTGAGTAATCTTTCCAATCCATGCTGGAAAAAGTATGTGAAACTTTGTGCCGACAGTCAAAGGAGCTTGCAAAGAAAAGCATCTGGACTTCTTTAAGTTACTTGAAGACGTTTCACCTCTCATCCGAGAAGCTTCTTCAGTTCGGATGAGAGGTGAAACGTCTTCAAGTAACTTAAAGAAGTCCAGACGCTTTTCTTTGCAAGCTCCTTTGACTACGATGACCTGGATGACTGAGAACCTTCACAGACATATTTGTGCCGACAGTTTCTCCTACTTGGAGTCAAGTGCTTCAATTAAGGAGATGAGATTGGGTTGTGAGTTGGCGTGTCCTCTATAAATAAGGCATATCAATGTTGCAAGGGAGGTTTGCCTACAAAGGTTCCTAACTGAGTTAAATGACTTAGAAACAATTAGGTGGCAGCCATAGTTAGAGCTAATCAAATTACCTAAATGATAAGAGAAGGCGCTTCAGTGCTTCTTTTCCTATTCCCTTTAGTATTAGCTCTACTGCAGCATCTTTTATAACAACCCATAATGCTGTTCATCGATTCTCTTAGCACTGCAGTTGTCTTTGAAAAGATCACACCAGGATGCAATCCTGAGAGGTCGGAGAAAAACTCAAGGGTAACAGCAAAACCATCATAGAAATCTTTGCAACATAACGAAATCTTTGTTCATATTTCCACTATATGAAAATAGATATTCAATAGAATGGCCTTAATTTAAGGACACGATGCTTTTCGAGAACAAAATAATACAGCAGATCCCAAGTTTACCAAACCTGAAGGTTGTGTGAGTAGATGAGACAAAACTTAAAGCATTTTGACAACAACATATGTTTAAAGGAAGGAAAACAACAAAATCTCATGGGAGCATGGTTTGGGGCTGTTTTGCTCCCTCTGGGATTGAGTGCCGTGCAATTGCTGAATTCAAACAATGAATTTAAGAATTATCAATTTATTTTTTTTTGTAAATGAGACTATCAGGGCAGGAGTCCATGACCTTAAAATGCAAGCTCATAGTATAGTCAGCAAAAGAATGGTTGAAAAGGTAGAAGATCGTTGTTATGGAATTGCTGAGTTCTCAACTGAGAGGTTATGGCAAGACCTGAAGAGGGCTGTTCAGTCCATACATCCCAGAAATGTTAACAAACTGAGTCAGCTTTGTAGGAGGCAATGGTTAAAAATGAAGTTCTTACTGTTGTGTAAGCTCCATAAGCAGCTACAGGAAAACAGGAGCTCCTACAAATGGCTAAATTTAAAAGTTTGTTCATTTTTCCAGGGTGTACTGAGACTTTTTAATGTGTTTGATATATTCGTCTATAATAACTGCAACATTTGACAAACTAATACAGAACAGACATTAACTTCTCAAAACAGACTGCTTCAAAGATTAAAAACTGAGAGCAAGGGAGAACTTGAACTCTAGCAGCTCCGAACATAATGGCACAAATATCAACATGATGAGCAATAAGGGACAATCAAACAGAAAGAAAAGGCATCAAGAATAATTATGTATTTGTGTGAGCGGGAGGGGGAAAAAAAGAAGGCAAGAGTGAATTACTCAGGGATTACTTCAAGCAGTTTGATTAATTCGAAAAGCACGAAGTCGATTATGTGCTATGGGAGAGGGATGGGAGTTCTTATACAATGAGAATGTAATTACACCACAGACAGGGTACTTTAAAAGGTGTTGAAACCTTGTGACATTTTGAGACAATATGGTCATTATTGTCAGCAGACTTAATAAAAACACGTTTTTGTCGTGCTAATTTGAATCTCTAAAGCCTATAGACACATCAGCGCCAACTTTAATAACCCGTTTTACTGCTTAAACAGAAAAATACCAATGAATAGTGAGCCTATAAAACACGACTCGCTCAGTGGGGGAATGGATAATTTAGTCTTCATCTCATTTTTACTGCATATCATATTAGTAAACTGATCTGACGGCGCGCCGAGACTCCACGGCAGCAACTTACATAGAGATAAATGTGGCCAATTTTGGTTGTGAAGCACAATTAAACCTTCTTTAAAAAAATAGAGTGACAGTTGCTTAGTCTGAAAATATAATGATAAGTAAATTGAAAGCGCTATACACCTAAAACTGATATTGAAGAACATATGCATTGCATCAGTGGAGTTTAGTCGGCTGGGCACCTTAAAGCTTAAATCTCACTCGGCGGAGAAATCAACTTGTCCTAGATACATATTATCAGCATACATCACACCATCTACTCTGTAGAGGTCACCGAGCCTGCTAACAGATGGTTGCTTGACCTCCAGTTAATCATGTTATGTTACATTTTTATTTTAGGTTAGATGAGGCCCTTGTCTAAAGAAATTTACAGTATGATGAGTGTAGGTATGAGAGGCTAAAACTATCATTAGAGCTACTGAAAGCGAGACAGGTAGAGCACATTGGCGGAAGAAGTGGCAGCATATCTTTGTCAGATGGGGTTTTTTAAACATATCTCTTTTATATAAAGCACCATTGCCTGCTGGCTTTAAGAATACAATGAATATTGTATGTTTATGTGACACTCTCAACTTCCCCACAGGTACTACCACTACCTGTTCACTCACTACCTGCCTCAGTCTCTGCGGACTCTGGTGGATCGCACCTCCAACTGTGAGGACATCCTTATGAACTTCCTGGTCTCTGCTGTGACTCACCAGCCGCCGATCAAAGTGGCTCAAAGGAAGCAGTACAAGGAGCTCCCCAGTCCACAGGTAGGTACCGAATTGTCTTCAAAGTAATACTCTCTGGAGTCTCTTGACTTGGTTGTTAGAACAAGATTGGATGCTAAATAGCATGTGCCTGTTCTACTCCCAGGGTACGAAGAGCGTCCCTTGGGCCAACCCTGAACACTTCAACCAGAGGCAAGAGTGCGTCAACTCCTTTGCCAACTGGTTTGGCTACATGCCCCTGGTGCATTCTCAGTTTCGCCTGGACCCCGTTCTCTTCAAAGATCAAGTGTCCGTCCTACGCAAGAAGTACAAAGACCTGGAGAGGGCCTAACATTTCTGGACAAAAAGACTAGAGAGCGTTGAAGTCATGTTTCGAGCCATTTTGGACAGACAAATATGGCTACTAAGTAACAGAAAGTTCAAGACATGTCTTTCATGCATGGGAAGTGGACAAAAAGGCACCGAGGTCCATTGGTGACATGGACAATCATCAAGAAAGACCCAAGGAGATCTGAACTATATAAAGAGCTTAAGAGAAAGGAGTCTATAAAAAGTACTTCAAATGCTTCTCCAACCTCCATGAATCTTGAGAAATTTGGGGCCTTAAAATAGTCCTTGTGATTGGCCCTGTCGCTGAGAAAGGACAATTAAAATAGTCAAAAAAGGAACATTTGTGAACACTTCAAATGTCAGTGCTACTGCAGTGGCAACAAGGAGAGAATGACTATCTCATGCCAGGAGCACCCAAGGGACTGGTATCGGTGCCATGCACTCCAGCTGGCAACATCTGTCTCCATGTTACTGTTGCCAAGGAAACAGATCATTTCACATTAAAATGCTAACTGTAAGACCAATAAAGTGATTTATAAATGCAAACTCTGGACTCGTGCTGCAGAATGTTCACATATTTTGTCCCATAATTGCCAAACACATAGTGTGTGGCCACGTTTCCAGCAGAGGCAAAGTTCATCTTGTAATTTAAGGTACAAGCAACAAAGATAGGAAATCAGGGAGGCTGCTGTGGCATGTCTGTCTTTCATCCAGTTATGCTACAAACGTATAAAAAGAATCATGTAGTTCTGGTTACACTGCTGAAGATCACACTGTCAAGCAGTTTCTTGAAAAACACACAAAAAATAGAAATCAACTAATCATTATGAATACTACCTTTAAATGAATAAGCGAAATCTGTAGGAAAACAGCCAAAATCTTTGTTCCAGTGGATTTATCATTTGCAGTCCAAGTTGGCATTTATTTTGAATATATGCAGATAAATGTTTGTCATGCAGAGCAAAAGACAGACTAATTGCTGGATGGTGATGCCAAACCTAGTAAAACTCGGTGAACTTAGGCAAGTAAATGTGTTTGAGGCAACCTGAAAATCAGAGTTGGGAAAAAAGGTGAGTTAAGTAACTCTGAACGTGGGATGGTTGTTGGCGCCAGACGGGTTGGTCTGAGAACTCCAGAAACTGAAGGTTTACTGGGATTTTCCCATACAACCATCTTTAGAAGAACGGAGAGCGCCAGGTCAGTGTGTGAAAATACCCTGTTGATGTCAGAGGAGAATGAGCTGCTAGAAAGCCAACTCAGCCGTTCTCTACAACCAAGATATCGAGAAGAGCTTCTCTGAATGCACAACACATCAAACCTTGAATCAGATTGGCTACAGCAGCCGAAGACAACACGTGGCGCTACTCTTGTCAACTAAGAACTAAGTTTATGAGGGTCTCGAAAAGCGATATATAAATGCAATCCATTATTATTATTATTATTATTATTATAGTTCACATGAGCTTACCAGACTGAAAAAAAGCATGATCCATCCTGCCTTGTATCAACAGTTCAGGCCGATGCTGCTGGTAAAACTCCAACTGAGCATCAATTAAACATGGCAGTCCATCTGGATATTACTGCTGTCCATGTCCATCCACAAAGCTCAAATAATCTCAAAAAGGCTTATTTTACATGACAGTGACCTCACTGTACTCAAATAGCCTCTACAGTCACCAGAGCATCTTTGTGATGAGGTGGAACGGGGGATTCAGATCATGAATGGGCCAAAATCTGAGGAATGTTTCCAGCCCATTATTAAATCTATGCCATGAAGAATAAGGGCAGTTTTGAAGGCCAAATGGGGTCGAGCAAAATTTGCTGTGTGATGGATACACTGAAAATGTGTATTGTGGCAGGTACAATTCCACTACAAAGGTAAAGTAAAATTAAATATAGAAAACCCATTTGGGACAGGATGAGTTTCCTTAAAAAATAAATTACTAAAGAGTATTATACTAAGCACAATCACAGGAATCGAAAGTGTGGTTCGATAGCATCCGACATGACTGAGAAAGAGAATGACTGGCTCTTTGTTGTAATGTAGGCAAACTACACAAAAGAGCTGCTGCTGTGTAAAGAAAGACGAATACAGAAGGTTAAGGTCAGAGTGTGCATCATTACAAGTAGGTGGATGTACTTTGATGTACTTATACATCATCTCAATTGTGAGGGAGATCATGCATTCCTACATCCACCCTCAGGGTTGAGACTGACACTATGGAGCTAATACTTCAGTCTGAGTGGGCCCGTCCTGGATTTAGAAGCAGGACTTTAAAATATATATTCAGACCGTTTGTTTCAAAAAAAGAAGTTTATTAAAAAACAAATACCCAGTACACCAACCATTTGTAGTACAGTTTACAAAAATAAATTCACAGGTAAGCAAGTCTCAACACCCTCAGGGCAAACAGGTGTGATGTGTAGCACTCAGGAAGCTAATCTCATTAAGCACATGCACACACTTATGTACAAAGCACCTGAGATACATAGCTGCCAAAGGGCCGATTGGAATTCTGAACCCACAGTGTTTTACAACTGACAGAGCACAAATATGGGCAATTGTTCTTATTGTAAACAAACATATCAGATCAGCTTCTGTGCTTTGTGGAAGAATTACCTGCAATGAATTCAAGTCTGTCTGGTGTCAAGTCAGCACCTGGAGGCAGAACACCATGAATAGGCAGTTTAGGCTTCTTTCTCTTCTGTGCTTTTTGTTACCTGAGGCCATCCAGGTTCCAACTTATTATTTCATCAGTTTGAACAAAAGTCTATAACTTATTTAAGTAGTTACAAAACAGTTGCAGAGCACTTTCCAAATGAAAATTGGGTTATCAGCTGCCTCATACAAAAGAAGAGGATGACTGTTAGAATGTGTGTCAGCTTATCCTGTTTTTGGCTTTGACTCGATACCTTATTCCTGCCTTGTTTATGATTTCCCTCTTATCGGCTCCAATACAACAAACAACACGGGCTCTTAGATGAAAAGGTGCAAGTAAATTATGAGTTTCAGTGATGAAGTGCCAGCTCAGAGTAGGCGGAAGGTCCCATAAATCCTACAGAAGTTCCCTTATTTCACCTGGTCTTTGCCGTCTTAAAGTTCCTTCACCCGCAGAGGAGTGCAGAGCTAAGAAACAAGTGCGCAAGTCTCATTCAGAGCCATCATTTTCTAAGTGTCAGCATAGCATTGATGTCCCACAGAAGGTTCCTCATCTGGTCCATCAGAACCTTCATCTCCTGGTTCTTCTGGCGCAATTTCTGTATAACAACAAGACATTTGGCCATTAGTTAAACTCTGCAGAACACGTGGACTTTAACCATTGCCTGTTACAACCTTATACATATAAGCAATCCGGGAAGGAAATAGCTAATCACATATTAACAAGTGATGCTGACACTGCCTCACACCTGGAGGAAAAATACTTTTCTACTGGTGCTGATGCTAAAGCCAACAGTCCTCTCAGCCTCAGGCAGAATTTTCCAGTGTTTTGCCACTGGCTCCCTGAAGGTATTTTTGTAACCCAACTGAAATATTAGCTCTAACAAAAAACAACACCCTAATTCAGAATGAGTAAATAATGCAGAGTTTTTCAGTTAAAATCCAGATGCTACTTTAGCCTGTGTCAGTACTGCCACCTAGAGGAATTTGAAAGGGACTTTATTCTGCTCATTTCAGCATAGCTAAGTAACACTGTCCCCAATTATTAAAATATATAATAAACTGTGGAACACCAAACAATATATGAGAAATTAATTGATTCATATGTTGAATCCATTTCAAGAAAAGCTGCAGCAATAAGTCAATGAACTGGCATAACGTTTGTTGCCAACCCTTTTTCTTTCTTAGTAGCTAATGATGTTTTCTGCACGTTTAGGATTTCCTGTTTTGTGTCATAAAGTGACGGTAATAGATATCCTGGCTGTTGGTCAGAGAAAACAAGGCACTAAAAGATGTCCCTTTTAGCAGTGGGAAGTTATCAATTTCAAGACCAATTATTATTAATTATTACAGAATTATTTGCAAATCTCACAAACCCATAACAATTCACAATAGTGCAGAAAAAACGTATCAAATGTTTAAACTGGGATAATGCACCATTTAAAAACAAAAGGTAACACTGACTTTGCTGGCACCAACACGTACGTTTTCAACAAGTCTCTAAATCCTGGACTTGAAATTCTGTGTGTACTGCTTTTTTATTTATTTTATTTTAACTTAACCCCCCCAAAAAAAGGCCCCGTCACTGCTGATGGTTTCCCGAGGCGACAAGAACATTACAGAAACCCACCTCTAGGACCTCGTTTCTTTCCTGGATGACAGCAGGACTGCAGGGCTCCACTCTGACAGAAACCAGCTCCTCTCCAGCGTACGGCACAAGCTGAACACACAGCCGAGGTAAATCACGATTAAAATTGCATTTTTTTTTCTCATTATCAAATCAGACATAAAGAAAGAACATAGTTCTACAGTAGTTATATAGTAGTAATTGAAAAAATGTTTGTTTGTTTTTCTTTTTTTGGGGGGGGTCAGCAAAGGTCTTCTCTAACCTCAGCTGGTCCCTCCTTCAGGTCAGAGGTCATTTCCACACAGCGTTCATACAGCAGTCGGAGTTTTTTGAAGAGCAGAGTGAGCTGCCGAAGGTGTTCCTGGAGCTTCCCAAAGCGGTCCTGATACGTTGCCTGGCTCTGAGTCACCCCATTAGGAAGCTGAATCAAAAACACACAATAGATAACATGAAATCATTTGGAATAATTACACTTCTATTTCTAAATACAGCAGTGTAATGCAAATAAAAATGCTGACAGTGTCAGGCAATGTAAATGACTGCATGTACATTGGACATGTAGACAATCATTTTTCAAAACCAAGTAATAGCAATGGCAACACAAAACCATAGTGTTCCTCTTCTCTGAGCTGCACAGGTTTAAAAAAAAAAAAAGGGGGGGGGGGGGGGGGGGGGTCACCTTAATAGGCAAGAACAAGCTTTAGAAGTCAGCACTACACTGAAAAACACAGAGGCGCATTTGGTAACACGGATCAAATGGAGATGGGAGGATGGGTACGAGGGATGCTGACAGGCAAGCCGAGCAGATATGCCAGAAAAGAAGACGGGCCAAATTGAGACTGACAGGGAACAGTGGAACCACTTTAGCCACATAAATACCGCCCACTCAGTTAACAGCCACACATACACCAGAGCTGCTGGTGCAATTTGCTGCACTTAAGCTAAAGAAATAATGCTAATATAACAATAACTGCAATTTTTGGTAGCAGTAAAATATGAGTAACCGTCCGTGCTGCCCATCTAAAACTGCAGACTGGTGACTCAGCAGGTAATTATTGAACTAATCAGTCAGTAAACCTGCAGTCATTTGAATTTTCTGTTAAAATGCCAAATGTACAAAGGTTCCAAGGAAGGGCTCACCAGTACTGTAAGGACCCAGATGTGAGAGGCGCTGCTGTCTGAGAAGTGTGGATTTTAATTGGCTGATTACACACTTACGGACGAGGGCACGGACAGTTCTGGAGATTATGGCCAAAAGCTTGATCTAATAATAGTTTTACATAGTGTACATTAAGTCCACCAGGGGGAGGTCAAATTGGTGCCCTGATAGTGTCATTGAGGTCACCAAATTGGCATTCACAGAGCCTTGTGTTCACACTCCAATGACCCACTTTTTATTTTAATTGTTGCCAATAGCTAGTTAGTTGGAGCAGTTGTTGTTTTTCTTTTTTTAATCTAAGACATTGTTTTTTCTCTTCTATTAGACAATAAATAAACTTAAATAAACGTAATCCTTAATTTAAAAAACAAAACGAATGTTATTTATAAATGGTATGAGGAACCTGAAGCTGCACTTGATTGAGTTTTCAAAAGTCGTTCAGATTAAATAAATATTAAAAACGATCGTTACAGTTGTAGTTTTGGACTTTAAGTCAATATGAGAACTTAACAGGCAGGAGTGCAGAGGTGAGAGCTGGGACAAAGGCTGGTAAAAGGAGACAGCTGGCTGGTATGATAGAGAGAATGAGACCAGGTGGGAAGAAAGCCATGCCTGAGAAATTATAGATATACTCAAATGTGGAAGCGAAGAGTGTGTCATACAGGATTGAAGCTGGAAATCAAATAGGTGATGTTGAATTTGTTCACTACACGTTGGATGTCAGTTAGAAGAAAAAAACCAGAGTAATTTGGATAAGACCGTAAGCACAGTCAGAGTGTAAGAGACTGGCGATAGGAGCAGGCAATAGACATATGGGTGATGGAAATAGATTTGATAAGGACGTATCATATTTCAAGAAGACAGAAGAACACAGGGTGACATATAAGAAATGAGGAAGATGCATACAGGCGGACTACATTTAACCAGAAGGTGCAACCTGAAAGAGACACGAGACTGCAAGGTTAAGATTAAGAGTTTCATTAGGAATGTAATCAGACGGATGGCTCAGATTGAGTGCTAGAGAGGGAAGACTAAGATGGCTGGAAAATGTGCAGATAGGAATAATGGATATACTCGACAAAGATTGCTGAAAATGGAGCTGCTAGGCCAGAGGAAATGAGGAAAAAAGGAGAAGATTCATGAATGTAGTGAAGGGGACATGAAGATGGTTAGTGTGACAGAAGAGGATGTCAGAGAGAGAGATAGAGGCTGTAGTGACCCCTCAGAAGAGCAGCTGAACTGAGAAGATGAATGAGAAACTAACAGTAAGAAATATTAGTCTGCTAATGATACACCCATAAACAAAGCTGAATATGTGAGTGGGCAAGAATATAGGTAAGTGTGTTATACTCATATTACATATAGGTATGCGACAATATCGTTATTTTGATATCAAGTCCCAGACACTAACAACAAGAAACCAGTTCCTGCTGCTAAGCATGAGCCTCGTGTCCCTTACCTGTGTGGCTCGTGTAATCTGGAAGATCTCCATAGTGCGTGTGACAATATCTTGTACAGTCTCCTGTCCGATCCTGCAGAGGAACACCGGGGAGATCTCCCTAAGGGCTCCCTGAGGAGGCATGGGCTGCTGACCTGCACTTGGGGCAGCACCGGGGGGCAGATGAGGAGGCTGCTGCTGCTGCTGTGAGGGCATACCTGCCATCCCTGGCTTCTGAGGTAAAGAAGCTGCCATATCCACACAAATCTGCGGGGTACGATGGTACAAGACAAAGGTGATGTTCTATTAGCGTAAATATACGTTTTCTCAACACAGCAAGGATGTATGCTCAAATTTAAGCTTATTAGAGAAACTACAGACGTTTCGAGATCATATTTAAGAAAGCAGGAAACTCCTTAAAAATGTACTCTCAATGGAGACGAGGGAGGGAAACTTAACTTACTGGCTAAACATGCTAGCTCAAGCAAATTAAGCTAACTAGTTAGCAACGGGCTGTGCAAAAAGCTACTTACCCAAGTTCAAACCGTCTTTTGGCTGAATGTTGTACAGATGTTTCCCAGATGATGCAGCCTTTGCGAAAAAGGGCCTAGTTATTTATTATTTTAAATAAAGCATGATCACTGGCACCCTTCCATTGATTTCTTTCAGAAAGCACAGCACGTTAATGCGTCACTTCCGGGCATAAAAATGGGATTAATTCTCCCACCGCTAGATGGCGACAGTAGACGCGGATATACCTGAAGGTACTGTAAACATCAGCTGTAAAAGAACAAAACAATTTTAGCTATATACTATATATACTATAGTGTAAAAATATACATTTGTTTTTCATTCGCACTATTAAATATAAAACTGTAAAAAACATAGAGAGAAAAACACATTAAAAGTCATCACTTTTCATCAAATGCCACTAATTTCATCATAGAAAATGTTAGTGTTGGATTGACATTACTCAAGCATGATATTAAAATTAATTCAATTTAATTCTAAAGCACACATTACATGCATATTTTGCATGTAAAATGTAACAAGACCATACACTGGATGTATGTAAAAGGGAAAATTTAAGTATGCAGTAAATACAATTGCCCATTCAAAAACAGCAATAATGTAATTTCAATATTATATGATAGCCATCTAGTTACTTATTAGAAAGACAGCTATAAAATGATCATCTATTTATGATAGGGTATATGCAAAGCCTTATTGAACATGTGGTCATATTGATTTAAATGTCCTATGTATATTACTGTTTTATAGCCGCAAAGAGTCAGCGTGTTAGTAAAGAAGTTTAAACTTCATCCTACTCCTTTTCAAGCATGTAAATTATGTGGTATATACAGATAGTCATTAATATTTTTCCCCTATTAGTTTTTTTCTTCTGTTTGCAATGTTTGTTTGTTTTTTAAAGTATATTTACAGTAAAAAAAAAAACAATCAATTAATGTCTTAATCAAAATAGTCTTTTTTTTAATTTAATGGAAACTGAAGTCAGTAAATCAAATTGGTGGTTTACAAATTTTCACTCACACTTAAGGTGTGTCAATGATGGTTTCAAGTATTTATTTATTTTTGAATAGTTATATCTACAAGGATTTTATAACTTAAGGAAATAGATAAGTCTTGGTGGCTGGGGATCAGTCTTCCACGGCCCCCGCTCCGGCCTCCAAGGTAGGGTCCCGGTAACCCTATCCCGGGCAGGGTGAACTGTTCCCTTGATGTTCTACTCATAGGCGTCTTCTGTATCTTTCTTTGTCTGGTCCTTCACCCAGGACCCAGCTCTCAATTTACCAGTCGATCTGCATCCCTACCCCCACCTATGGTCATGAGCTGTGGGTAGTTCCTCCGAAGAGTGGCTGGCCTCTCCCCTAGAGATAGGGTGAGAAGTTCCTTCACATCAAAAGGACCCAGTTGAGGTGTTCCGGGCATCTGATAAGGATGCCTCCTGGGCTCCAAAGGGGTGAGGTATTCCAGGCATCTCCCACTGGGAGGAGGCCCCGGGGCAGACCCAAGGCATGCTGGAGAGATTATATCTCTCGGCTGTCCTGGGAACGCCTTGGTGTTCCCCCGGACAAGCTGGAGGAGGTGGCTAGGAAGAGGGAGGTTTGGGCTTCTCTGCTTATGCTGATGGATGAATGGATGGATGGATGGATGGATGGAAGTCAGACTTTTAAGCAGTAGACCTATTTTGTTTGACTCAAGGATAAATGAATTACACGTGTTTGCTTTGCTGTCAAGTCAGACCAATAAAACTGAGGAAAGGACTGGATTTGTCAGTCACATGTGGACCTACTTTCTTTATTTGATGAGTCTGGTTGCGTGACTTTATCCATGGTTTATATAGGATCAAAGGTCGCAGTCAACCTAGCACAACAACAGCAAGTTCAAGGAAGTACAGCTTCCTTCAAGGACTTGGTTTAGACTTTATTCCCTTTGAACAAACATGAGTAAAATGGCCTGATATAGGCTCAGATTAAAAAAAGACGTAGTTTACATATTTGTATTTTATACTAAAATTGACTGATAATAGATCCAATTAACAACACAAATACAGAAAAAACGATTCCATCTACTTTGCAACTTTATTTTGCCTGTATGTTTCTCTTTGTTTTGACGTCACGTCACCATTTCCATCTGTGTTTGATGTACCGTTTCAACTTGGACTTTGTTTGTTCTTAAGGAAATGCAATTTGCATGGAGATCTTAAACACGCAAGGCAGAGATAAGGTACGCAAGGTACTGATAACAATGAATGTTAAATGCATTTTAACGCACAGTGGGCTCAAAAAGCAAGACCACTTGTTTAAATACTACTTTTTTAGCATCAGTTTTGGAATTTATTACATGCATTGTTCAAAGTGATGGCTTCAGCTGAGTCATTTAAATAAAAGACTGAATCTTTGAATAATATAGACATATTATTATACACACATTTAGTCTGTGGCTCTTTTGCTTTAAGAATATCAGATATAGTTGAGTTGGGAAGTCTGTGCACTAGGGCTGCCACAAACGATTATTTTGATAGTCGACTAGTCACCGATTATTTATGCGATTAGTCGACTAATCAGATCATCATCCACTGGACGTAAAACTACAGCTTATTGCACCAGCAGCATCTACTCTTATATAACTATCATTAGCTTACAGCTTTAAGCTTTTAAGGTGCTAACTAAAAATAAAGACAAGATGATAGTTTATTCAATTCAATTTTAATGAAATTATATGTGCAATATGTTTGCTTGGGCGTTTTTTTTAAATGTGAATTATTTGACCATCTGCCGTTTGACCATCAGTATTGTCTCGGTGGAGTTTAATAAACTCCTTGCTATCGAAAATATAACAGGACACCGGAGTAAATTCTCCAGCATCTCACACTTCTGATGATCAGCTGTCTGCTTGACGTTTATTCAGCTGTGTAAAAACTATAACTTTAATCTCAGACAAACCGATTTACTCAGGAACAACTAAAATACTGAAAAAAAAAAGCCAAACAACAACATTTTTAATTTATCTAAGTGACTCATATATATTTAACCTGAGTAGCGAAAGACAGCGGTGGGTTTGAAAACAATTTGCCGGGAGTCCGGTGTTCTCACAGCGCTAGTGACCTAGCCCCCGGCTAGCTATCGAGCTAGTGGGTAACAGATGTCTCCGAAAACGTCGGAGCGCTTTTGAAAATATGTGGTGTCCTGATAAACTGATCCGATATTTGAGGTTTACACAGCTACATTCTCGCCTGAAAATATGTTAAACGTTTATTTTGTGACCCAGAAAGAATAATAAGAGTAATATTAAAACTAACTAGCTACCGCCATTGTTGGAAACTAAGCTGGGCCGCGCTATGAATTCTGGGACAAAGCTGCTTCTTCTTCTTCTTCTTCTTCTTCTTCGGGGTTTAACGGCAGCTGGCATCCTTGTACATGCAGTGCTGCCATCTTCTGTTTCAGTCCGTTATTACACTCTTAAATCCTGCTACTTATTCCTGGGTCTTTTGGGATCTTACAAAGCTTCAAACGATGCGTCGACTATTAAATCAGTCGTCGACGATTTTGATAGTCGACGTAATCGTGACTAGTCGACAAATCGTGGCAGCCCTAATGTGCACAACTTGATAACTCATTTAATTCAGTTTAGTGTTATTTATATAGCGCCAAAACACAACAACAGTTGCCTCAAGGCGCTTAACCCATGTTATCACGGATTAATCAGACAATTTTGTAATCTTTGTAAGGCCAAGTAGTCCTTGACAATCAGCACCCTTGGACATTCTTGGTCTTAAAGTAGTTCTTCATCTTGGCACCGTTTAATCGTGCTCCTCAAAGATGGGTGGTGCTTGTTTATGAGGAATTACGTGTCATATTTTCCAGTCAAGAGTACAATTCAAGCTTGTAAAAATAACCTTTTTCCCCAATAACCTCAGAGTTTTAACACTTCTACAATCACTAAAGCAATCAAAGTTTTGATTGGCAGAGCCTTATGAACAAAGATTATTTGCCTCTGAGTCACTCATGTCTGCCTGAGTATCATTTTAACCCCTTGAACAATTGAAAGGATGATTTCCAATAATTTACACAATCCAGTTTACGCAAAGTAGTTTTTAAAAGCTACATTAGCTGTTTAGCTCTATAGTGTTTTCAGTCATTCGGATTAAGACATTTTACATGTTCATATTCATAACGGATTATATTTTAGACCATGTTTCTTAAAATGTGGAAATAGAACATTAACTTTTAGCTGTGTATCTTCACAGTCATACAGCTCATGGAAAAAATTGTTCCCTTTTTTCCCCTCAATCTCTTAAGATCCTAATTTTAGTAACAGTGCCCTCTGAAAGCAAATACTAGCATGCTAACATGCTAAAAGAAACATTAGCATGTAAATACTGCACAGTTGATATGAATGTCGTGATTTTAACATTTAACTAACTCTATATATCTCTCTGCAGCCTTCATTAATAATAATAATAATAATAATAACTTTATTTATAAAGCGCTTTCAAACAAAGTGCTGTATAACTGTTTAAAACTAAAGAGATAAAAAAAATAAATAAATAAAAAGCGATACATAGCAATACACGTAAAAGACACAATACAAGTTAAAAACAGTAAGAATTTAAAAACTAAAAGCCATAGAATTAAGACTTGTAAGATAAGGTGAACAAATGTGTCTTCAGCTTAGTTTTAAAAACCTCCACGGAGCATGCCTGCCTAACATCTTGAGGGAGGGTGTTCCACAGAAACGGGGCACGAAAAGAAAAAGCACGCTCTCCAATTGTCTTTTTTCTGGCTCTAGGAACCTTTAGAAGGCCAGAGTCCTGAGATCGGAGAGCACGGGATGGAACGTAAAGATGTAAAAGGTCGGAGAGGTATGAAGGTGCCAGTCCGTTTAAAGCCTTGTAGATGAGCAGCAGGACCTTAAAATCTGCTCGAACCTGACAAGGTAGCCAATGCAGAGATCTCAGAACAGGGCTAATGTGCTCAAATTTCCCAGTTCTTGTTAAAATGTGAGCAGCTGCATTTTGCACCATTGTTCAGTGTTGTTTAGTTTGTAGACAGTATGAAATTTATATATATATATATATATATATATATATATATATATATATATGTGTGTGTGTGTGTGTGTGTGTGTGTGTATATATATATATAACAATTCTGTAACTGTAACTTCGGTCGTTGCTGTGCTTTTTTTGGAAGTCGAATTTCTCAGAGGAACCCACCCGAGGGATTAATAAAGTTCTATCTTATCTTATCTTATCTTATCTTAAATTTAGTAAGCAGTATTTATTTACAGATTTGTCTTTTATTGCTCAAACATCTGATCCTGTGGGAAAAAAGGTTTCAAATGACAATGTAGTTCTCTAAAAAGCGAATTACACCCCATGAGCCAATAGCTTCTAGAACCACCTTTAGCAGGAGTGAAATAATTGTTTTCTGTATGACCTTATTAGTTTCTCACATTGTTGTGAAGGAATTTTGGCCTATTTTTCTCTACCGTATTGCCTCAGTCGATTGGTGTTTGCAGACATTCATATATACACCGCTTTCTTAAGGTCCTGTAACAGCAATTCAGTTGGGTTGAGCTCTGCACTTTGACTGGTCCATTGCAAACCTCCGATGCTACGCTGTATCTGTAGCCACTGTGCCGATGAACTATTCTATAAGAAATATTTGGTGCTAAAATTCATAAGGAAAATGTGTACTACATTAATAAAATCCCACTCTATTCTACATGGAAACATGTAAGAGTGTCACTTGCGATGTTTGTGCTATATTGTGTCCTGGGACATTTGGTTATCGGAACTTTCCTGTACCAGGAAATATGCAGTGCTGTGATAAACCAGCTGATAACGTGCTACAAAAGGCTACTTGTGATCTCATACCTACCAGAATCATTTGTTACAGGAACAAGTTTGCTTCCTCTCTATTGTTGTAATAATACGGTGGTAGGAGAGAAATGAAGTTATGTGTGTTGTTATTTAAAATGTTTTGTAGTTTTAGGTTTGTATTCGACTTCCCCCACAGGATACATATGCTTTCGTTAATCAACTATAAAACACCCAGTATGCACCTGTTACATACTCACATATTAAATATTTGTGCAATCAGTCTTAAAATTTAAAGGGACAATACACCTCAAATAAAAAATGACAGATTTTTCCACTTGGACTATAGTGCCATCCGTTTGGCTTGTTTTGGTGTGTATAGCCATGTGTCGGGACATTAAAATAGAAATAGAATTAAAATAGACTTGAAATCCTCAGCACCAGTGTCTGTTTTTCCAGAAATTATGACCTGGCTATTTAAGAAACAACAACAACGTATTTCTGCAGATAGAGTCACGTATCTACCTGTGAGAAGAACCTGATACATGTTAATATGTGACAAGATGCAAATGATTATGGCACCCTTTCCTCTCAGCATTCAACCTTGTGCATCTAATTCTTGGTTTTTTTTTAAGTAATTAAAACTGTATTCTGTTGCAATGATTCCACCCTTGAAAAAGAACTATTCGAAGAAATAATTAAAATCATCATGTCATATATGCCAGTGAAGAAAGTATGTAAACTTTTGACCATAGCTGAACGTTGTTTTTGCAATGGAAAACGGGTACAAAAACAAGTACAACAGAAAAGTAACAGTACTTCTCTTTTTTTCACAATGGTTTGGTCACATTCGATTTTTTTTGGAAGTTGATAGGGTTCCTCAAATATTTGTAAAACCTTATATCAGAAATTAAATATCACAGGTTCACATTCCTTTCTGTTTGCATCAGTTATTCCAAGAGTTCAACAAGACAAGGTGAAATCGAATGTGAGTAATTTACCATTTTAAAAAAATCAATACAAAATGTGAAGGTTTGTAAAGTAGAATTCTTGTGTTATCAAAATAACTACAGAGGGCTGGTTAGCTTTCCACTTTCATTTTCCCTTGAATGACCTTGTTGCTTCACAGTTTTTCTCTGTTGACTTACCCTCGGGTTTATTCCTGCCTTATCTGACCTTGCCTGAAAGTTAAATATAAAGAGGAGACAGATTTCATAAAAATGTAAGACCAAGGTTGTAAATCTAGAAATGTAATATGAATAAAAAGAGATGAGAACCGAGAACTGTGTTGTTAGTTAGAATACTTCCGAACATGCAAGGTCAAATTCAACAAAACCAGCTGTTATTTTAAGAAGTGGCAAATAGCAGTCTCTAGCAAGTCTCAAGATGCCCTTTTCCTTCTAACTTCACACAAGTCCTCATGTGATCCATCCTTAGTAATATAAAACAAATACAACTGCTACAAAAAAAACAAAAACTTTTTTGTACCATAACTAAGCCCTGCAAATTTTGTGATACAGGTTTATTCTTTCATGAAAAAATTTTTTTTACACAGTGAGTATAGCCAAAACTGTACCCAAAACACCCAACCTATTAGCATAACTTTTCACAAAATACATGGACACATGGTAGCATAATATCTCCTGTAATATGACACTACTGAGAAAGTGGGGGTCAGAACAATGTGTTTCCGCATCCTTCAGCATAATTTCAGCAGGTTCAGAGTTGTATCAGGAAGCAGTCACCGTGTTATAAAAAAAACCCAAAAACAAATATTAACCTTAGCTTTAGGAGAAGCATATGATTCTACTTTTAACAAAGTGCAGTGGAAGCAGTTTTCCCTCACATTGTTACTCTTTTTTACACACGAAACACATTTAGTTTCCTGTCATATAGGGCATTATGAAAGTGCACCAGAGTATATAACAGGGCATGGTTTTTTTTTCTCTGTTATCAGCATCAGTACTACTGGGAGTTGTCAGGTATAAAAGGTGAGCCAGAAAGGTGTGAGCAGCCATAAAGTACAAAGAGAATTTACCAAGAAGACCAAGATGAAGATAACCGGGACAGTTCTCCTATGTGTCTGTTTGACCTTTATGTTTTTGGGCATAGAGGTAAGAGGCATTTTCACTTAATTTACCAAAGTTGCATTTATTTAAAAAAGAAAAAGAAGCCAGTTCAGGTCACCATGCTTTTACTAATGGCAAGCAACACAAGCATTTGTTTTTCTAGCTTAAGTGTAGTTGGATTCAAATCAGAGGTAAATTAAATCAAAAGTCAATGCAAATGCAGGGAAAGAGAAGAAAACAAAAGGATACAAAACCAAAACCTTTTGACTGTATTTCGTTTTGTACATGTTTGAGGATGTAGAATTGAATCACCTCATCATTCTCAGCACATAGGCACTGTAAGTGTAAACAGTGACATTTTCTTAGATTGTGATTTAAAATTATTATTGAAATTAGTGTGAATCAGTGCATCAGTGAACAAGAACTGTATTAACAGCTCCTTCATTTCTAGGATTCTGTGAAACTGAATATATCCATACTTTACTTACTTAATTTTAAGATAAGATAAGATAAAACTTTATTAATCCCTCAGGTGGGTTCCTCTGGTAAATTCGGTTTCCAAAAGCACAGCACCGACAGAAGTTACAGAGTTACAGAATATTTATATATATATATATATGTATATATATGTATATATATATACATATATATACATACATATATATACATATATGTATATATATATATATATATTATATATATATATATATATATATATATATATATATACACACACACATATATAAATACAGAGACATATATAAATAAAATATACGAAGGGGATAAATAGAATAAATAGGAATAAAAATAAAAATACAAGGAATACTTGCACATTTCAAGTATTGCGGTCTATTGAACTACAAGTGGACAGAACAAAGAAGCAGGACTCAGGTTTAGGCCATCAGAGTACATGACAATCAGGCCCTGCAGCCCTGCCTATCACAGCGGTATGCAAAGTGCAGTTAATGCTTTCATGCTTCGTGTACTGTTGAAGCAATGTGTACCGAACTTTTGCATGCTTGTGCGTACAGAGGATTTTCCACTGAAACAGAGACACATCTGTAAGCTTTATTTATTCCACGAAGTTTGACACAGAGTGGAAATGCAGACAGAAGAACATGGAAATTGAATTTAGAGTAGTGATAAGTATTACAAATAAATGGTAAATGGCCTGTATTTGTATTGCGCTTTACTAATCCCTAAGGACCCCAAAGCGCTTTACACATCCAGTCATCCACCCATTCACACACATTCACACACTGGTGATGGCAAGCTACATTGTAGCCACAGCCACCCTGGGACGCACTGACAGAGGCGAATAAGTACATGATATCAATATCAAATCAGTTTATCAACATATATGATATAAATTAGAATGCCTCATGTTATCTCCTTTGTCATTTTTTAATTAGATCTGCTTTACAGTAGCAATTTGTTCCACATGAATTGCTGACATTGACGTCTGTAATTTATTTAAAATAGCTAAAACACTGTTGCTGGATAGATATGAGCATATGGCTCTGCAACAGTCTACATGAATATTTAGATATATCTTTTACACCGTGAACTTTTATTTTCTCTTACAGGGCCAAGGCACCACAGATGTCACAACTCCAGCAGTGACCAATAACAGCACTACGAGTAATAGCACTCAGCCTGCAGCGACCACACCTCAATGGAACGCCACTGTTTCTTACACGACAAACACCACCCATGCCCAAACTCCTAAAACCACAAGAATACCATCTGACACCACCTCCCACTCTACAGATAATGTCACTTCATCACAGGGGTCCTCCGTGTCCCCTGGGGCTACTCAAAACCCTGGAACCCCAGCATCCACCACACAGAAATCCACAGGGACTACCAGCAAAAATTTTACCACAATCTCATCTACAACGACAAAAGGAGGATCTGCTCCTTTGTTTGGGTTCTGCAGTCAGCTGCTGGTGTTTGCTGTCACTATTCTGATCTGCTGTGCTTTGGAATGAATGTATGAAAGTATAGAATCTGCATTTAAATCCTTAAATGCTGTGGAAACATATTACATTATTATTACAGCCTCGTATTAAATGGCTGCTTCTTTAAGGCTGTGATGTGCTCTGTTTGCACTGAGTCTTTCTCTGCTTTTACACAAATATCCATAAGTTATGTATGACACTGTGCTTCAAATGTTAATGCTATGTTTCATTCATAAATACTAAAAGGGAATAAAGGAAACCAATGTTTTTTGGCAAATAAAGTAAAATGGTGATCTTTTGCGGAGGCTGAAGAGTTAATTGTACTGAACACTTCAGCCAACCTCGGGTTTGTTTTAGCTGAAGGAAACGGCAGTGGTGCACCCACAGCTCCATTTGCATGTTGGCTTAACACTAAAAAAGCTAGGCAACATCACATTTGAATTCATGCTGTTTGTACAGTAGCATCTTTGTTTCTCTCATGCCAACATGTATTTATGCATCTTATTATACGTATATTATTATATTATTTGGGGAAAAATTTAACTACCTCAACTAGAAACTATACAGATCAACATCTAGCAAAAACAAACCAAAATCTAACAAGACCAAGTCACAAAATGTTCTGGTGGAGTATTTGCAAATTAAAAATAATAATACCATTTACAGTTTTATATATATGTATATATAATTATGCTAATACTAGTTCTAGTCGCACCATATAACTCATATAAGATATGATATTGAAATTTTGCATAAAGTATAGATTTTTATGTCTGTAAGCCAATCAATATCTCAACCTCCCATTCAGCTTTTGATATAGCTGCAATTGCCATTTATCCATTTTAACAATAAAGATCCATTTTCTTTATGTCTTAAAACAACCTGTCCTTCACCCCGTACCCTTTCATCCACCTTTCCTTTTTTCATGCTATTACCTCTTGGTCTGACCTGCTCCCTCCCCCCTCAAGTCATGTTTCATCATCTTGTCCTCATCAACCCCATCTCCATGACTCATTCCTTGCACCCTTCACCTCTCCTTCACCATATACCCTTCATTGTATTGCATTCCATGTTTCTATAACCTTTCCCAGATTGTTGGCTAGGAGTAGGTCTCTCACAACACAGGATGCATGCCTTGTACTGCTCTGCTGATGGAAAAGTTGTGAAGTGTTTGTATAACTGCAAGCTTAAAGGATGAAAATACATAAGCAAAAATCTTGGTCTATAACTGGTTAATGACATCTGTTGCCTCGTTGGACAATTCCTCTTTGATCTGGAATAAAGAATAAATCCAGTCTTTTTTTGACATGGTATTTAAAGTAAATTTTCTAAGGAAGACTTTTCCTCTGGGACGTCTGTGTCATAGTATGTCTGGGGGTTTTCTGTAAATGTAACCACTTCCAACCTTTGTCTATTAGTATCCAAAGCTATATATAGTAGTACCTGGTAGAGGACCCGAGCTTGAAGGATAAACCGCCCGCAGGGGCGTGCTGGGTGGTGTTTTTATATATATATATATATATATATATATATATATATATATATATATATATATATATATAGATATTCGATATTTTTTCGATACAAAAAAAAATGTTCATGCCTTTTTAATTTGTCATTATATATTATATTATTATAAATATATATTTTAACTCAAAAGTACAGTTTTTAAATTTAATGTTGCTGAAACAACAAAATAATAAAAAAAAATAAATCTGATTTAGAAATCACTTTGGAAAAGAGAGTTTATTACAGAGAAATGGCTCTTTCCAAAATAAAAGCTATACTATACGCTTCTTCTGGGCTATATTCTCAGCAGCATATTAAACATACCAGGTCCCCGTAAGGAGAATCATGTGTTAACGGCTGTCTAAAAGTTTGTAGCATGCGTGCTTGTTGTTTTTGTCTGCTTCCACTTGTCTTTGCACTAGGATGATGTCAGTGTGAATGTGCAGTCATCTTCGTTGTGTTCCCACTAGTGCTGTCAGCGTTAATCTCGTTAAAATGACATTAACGCCCCCAACGCGGCAAATCTCCATTGAGTTACCACGGATCGCCCCGTGCGTGGGGCTGGACGGCGTCAACACATTAACAAGCTAACTGCGCTAACACACTAGTTCCCACCAATTGAGCATTCCGTGGCACAGCCGACATACTGTTTTACTTTTGTCCATGGCGCGCTTACCATCAGGGTCATGCTTCACATGAAAACCAAGATAGTTCCAAACGCGGTTCAATTTTGGGTAGCGTAGAAGCAGTTGCCATGTTGCAATGAGCTTAGCTTCTGTCTTGCTAGCTTGCGCTGCGCTCAGTGGATCTGCACTCGACAGTGCAGCCTAGGCAGAGTAGTCGAACGCAGATCCACTGAGCGCTCAACATAGACAGCATCGTCAGAAGAAAAGTTGATAAAATAAATAAAACATTTTGTATTATTCGATACATATGCGTACCGAACCGAAAGCACTGGTGAATATTAGGAGTGACAAAGTCTAAAGACCCGAACGTCCACGGAAAAAAACGGGTGGATAATCGCAGAATCACTTCAGTGGTAATGAGAAATCCCTTCTGTCAGGAAGTGCTGTGTGGCAGCCAGGAGTTGGACCCAAAATGCAGGCACTCAGACTCGAGGGATGAACTCAAAACACTCAGCTTTATTCGCTTGCAGGGGAAAAGCATACAAAACTAAACCTCACTGGGGAAACTATAAACTACACTACAAGGCACACGAGGAAACACACAGCTAGAGTGACGACGCAACACTGACACAGAGAAACACAGGGCTTAAATACACTGGGGAATAACAAGGGAATGAGACACAGAAGGAGAGCACAGCTGGGGGAAATCAGAACTGAAGAGACAAGGAAGCAAAGTAGGATACACTCACATCAGACACAGACCTTCAAAGTAAAACAGGAAGTATAACATTGAGGCATGAACTTGACATAGTAGAGACAAAGCAACTAAGAAACACAGAGACATAACCATAAGGCGAAGAACCAAAAGACTAGAGATGATAAATAATACACAGAGGGAAATCCTGGAACACAAGAAACTAGACTCGAGGGAGTAACAAAAGACCAACCATGAGAACATAATTCACAATACAGAGTGACAGAAAACACAAGAAACTCAAAACATGCGAAGACACAGACCAAGAAACACGGACTTTACACAGAAAAGAGGGGCACAGAGAAACATGAGGGGCAAGGGATCAAAACTAGAAACCATAGAATAAATCACATGAGTACTCGACAAAATACAAAAATCACAAAGAACTAAAAAAGCTGGGTGAAGAGACCCAGGATCCTGACACCTTCACAACTACCAACCAAGTGAACAACACTCTCCAGGAGGTAGGTGTATCAATATCAAAGTCTGCCATAAAGAGAAGACTGCATGAAAATAAACAAAGAGAGTTCACTGCAAGGTGCAAGCTACTCATAAGCCTCAAGAGGATAAAGGCTAGATTTAAAAAAAGAGACATGCTCAAATCCAGCTGAATGCAGTCAAATTGATTTGGTAGATGGACAATGACCCAAAACATACAGCCAAAGCAGCCCAGGAGATTATTAAAGCAAAAAATTGGAATATTCCTGAATGACCAAGTCAGTCACGTGATCTTAACCCAACTGAGCATGCATGCCACTTGTGGAAGACTAAACTTTGAACTGAAAGGCCCACAAACAAACAGCAACTGAAAGCTCCTGCAGTCAAGGTCTAAAAAGGAGGAAAGCCAGCATCTGGTGAAGTCCATGAGTTCAAGACTTCAGCCGGTTATTAGCAGCAAAGTATTAGAAATGAACATTTTATTTTCCTGAAATGTGAATATTTAGTGAAATGAAAGGATTGTGTTAAAGATGTTTTAGTTCTTCACATTTTTATGCAGTCTTTTTGTTGAACCCACTGAATTGAAGCTGAAAGTCTGCACTTTACCTCCATCTGAGTCGTTTCATTTAAAATGCATTGTGGTAATGTACAGAACGAAATTAGAAAAAGAAGTTGTCTCTGTCCAAATATTTATGGGCCTAACTGTAAGCCTGACAAATCAGCGTGCTGTTTGAACTTTGAAAGGTTAAAGTAAATGTAGTTGTGGAGCTGTTGATGTACTGTTGCTACTTTAAAAAGGATCACATCAGACAAAAACTTCAGTGAAACATTGTACTTTACAACACTGCCTAATTAAACAAGATGAAAGAAAATGAGGTAAAATAACATGTTATTTGAAACTGTTGAGTAAGTTTAGGGTTGGAGTTCTACAAAAGAATAAAAATAGCATCGAGTCAGCAGCCTGAGACACAAGAAAGACATTAGAGAGAAGGTATCACATCCATAGGTTAGGTTTCATTTGGCACAGTGTAAAGTTTTGCATTTGTGGTCCATCACTTGGGTGGAGGCTGACAGGTGAACAAGGTGAATGCAATATAAAAAGGCCAGCTTTGGAAGAGAGCACATATTGTACAAAACAAAGACTTGAGTACGGGAAACAAATCACATTTTAACAAGATATTTTAAGCTGTTAGCTTTCAAGAGGAAATTATATTTCAAGCAATATGAAGTACTTTTTCCTGGCGCTGCCTTTCCTGACTCTGCTGGGATTTCCCTTTTCCAAGGTAAGACTTGAAATTAAAAGTAAAAAAGAATGAATGTAACAAAAAATAAACAAGAAACAAACAGCAATCTTTGTTGATCAAACACACTTAAATAAATAAATAAATTAATATTCAGGGAATTCTAACCAGTGAGCCAAGATGATTTTTGATGGAAAAACTATTCTGATTCATATTTTTCACTGTTAATGCATTGCATTGAAATCACTTCCTTAATGGGCAATTATTACATATAAAGTATACAATATCATTTGTAGTGTCAGTTTTATTAATTTATTATTCAGTGTCATAAATTCTGTTGGTTTGCTCTTTAGCATGCGCCGCTAATGTCTGCAGCAAAAGGACCCAATCCTACCTACAATTTATCCCCAGCTACTAATACTGCCACAACTGACAGTGAGACTAACAGCAACAGTGGCTCTGGCAGCGGCACCCAGGCTTCCACCAGCACGACGACCACAGCCGCAGGGGTATCGTCAACCAAGGTGACTACAAAGCACCTCGAGGCAACTGTTGCTGTGATTTGCCACTGTATAAATGAAAACTAATTGAATGCAAAGAGAGGATAGAGTCGCATTGCCACCTCTGTGGCTCTGCTGTTTGGACCTTTTGCTTTTTAAACCATAGTGCAGTGGGCAATCTGAAGTCTCAGAGACAGAACTAGACTACAGTGTTATTTATCACACAGCAAATCAGAGTTTATTGTATTTACTTGTAGATGAAATACATTACCAGCTGCAAGAAATAATCAAAAAAGATAAAAGTAAAAAAAAAAAAGGAAATCTTTGTTTTTCATATTTCTTTGAATTGAAAGTAATGTGATCAAACACACACTACAATAAATATAAAACAAAAAAATGTATAAATTATTAAATTAATAAAAAAAAATACTTGAGGAAATCTTACCAGTGAACCAAGATTGTTTTTGATGGAATATCTATCCTGCTTCTGTATTTTTCAGTGTTAATGCATTGCTTTAAAATCTCGGCCTGAACGTAAAGTTATTACATGTAAAGCATACAATATCATACTCTGTAAAATCCAGCACAACAGAGTGTCATAAATTTTGTTGCTTTGCTCTTTAGGACATGAGGACAACCACTGCATCAACAGGTCTGAGTACTACCACTACTGACAGTAAGACTAGCAGCAACAGTGGCTCTGGCAGCGGCACCCAGGCTTCCACCAGCACGACGACCACAGCCACAGGGGTATCGTCAACCAAGGTGACTACAAAGCACCTGGAGGCAACTGTTGCTGTGATTTGCCACTGTATAAATGAAAACTAATTGACTATGTGCACGTTAGCATATGCTACTTCCGGTGCGGAAACTCCTGTGGGGAGCTTTGTTTCCGGTGTCCTATTCACGCCCTGTTTACGGTCCAAAACAAGTTAAGCAAATGAATGAATGAAGCGGCGATTTACGTTTCTATAGATGTCTTGGGCATTTACCCAATATATCTGTAAATGATGTTCATCGACTTGTCGATATTTTTTCCCTGCGCCTCAGAGCAAACGAGAAAAGGGATTCAAATGTCATATTTCTCAGTATTAGTAAACAGCTGTCCCTCGTTTATCGCGGGTCTTATGTTATAAAAATAACCAGCGATAGGTGAAATGTGAAACGTGTTATAGTGAGGGACCACTGTAATTTTGAAGGTAAGTCACAACATACCCTTCGTAAATA